CGTGCTGGGGGGTGGTCGTGCTGGGGGGTGGTCGTGCTGTGGTGAGGTCGTGCTGGGGTGTGGTCGTGCTGGGGTGTGGTCTTGCTGGGGTGGGGTCGTGCTGGGGTGTGGTCGTGCTGGGGTGTGGTCGTGCTGGGGGGTGGTCGTGCTGTGGTGGGGTCGTGCTGGGGTGGGGTCGTGCTGGGGTGTGGTCGTGCTGGGGTGTGGTCGTGCTGGGGTGTGGTCGTGCTAGGGTGGGGTCGTGCTGGGGTGGGGTCGTGCTGGGGTGGGGTCGTGCTGGGGTGTGGTCGTGCTGGGGTGTGGTCGTGCTGGGGTATGGTCGTGCTAGGGTGGGGTCGTGCATTTCGCTCGAGACATCCTGCCAAAATTCCAGGAAATCGTACAAAAACAAACGAATTAGTCGAGACATCATCGAAATTCCTTCGCGCGGGGCGCTTTTCCGCGTCGCGGTCGGCTCTGCAATACCAGCGTTTCGCTTGAGACATCCTCAGCAAATTCTGAAAACAAGCGTTTCGCTCGAGACATCCTCAACTCTGCAAAACCAGCGTTTCGCTCGAGACATCCTCAAGAAATTCTGAAAAACAAGCGTTTCGCTCGAGACATCCTCAATTTTTAATTCGCCGGCCTCCTTCGACCTCGTTATTTATCAGGGAAAAAATTCGCCGGCCTCCCTCAAGTTGGCACCGGGGGACAGGTTTACCTACTAAAAGAGAACCCTGGGCCCACGCCCTTTCCGGGAATAACGACAGTTACAAGGTTTGGATGACCCGCTCGGATTACCAACATGATCTGCGGGCCCCATAGGGAGGGGGCTCCCGCCTGAGACTTCCTCGCAATTCACTCACAGACGAGGCTCCCGCCTGAGACTTCCTCCAAATTCAGGCCTGAAGAGCCCAAAAGTGACGACAGTTACAGGGTTTGGATGACCCGCTCGGATTACCAACATGAAGCGCGGGCCCCATAGGGAGGGGTTCCCGCCTGTGACTTCCTCGCAATTCACTCACAGACGAGGCTCCCGCCTGAGACTTCCTCCGTACTCAAGCTTGAGGAGCCCAAAAGTGACGACAGTTACAAGGTTTGGATGACCCGCTCGGATTACCAACATGAAGCGCGGGCCCCATAGGGAGGGGGCTCCCGCCTGAGACTTCCTCACAATTCACTCACAGACGAACTCCCGCCTGAGACTTCCTCCAGGTGACTATGTGAATGAGTGAGCGTGTGACAGAGTGCGAGTGATGATGATGATGATGATGATGATGATGATGATGACGATGATGATGATGATGATGATGATGATGATGATGATGATGATGATGATGATGAGGAGTATGTGAGTGACTGAGCGTGTGAGAGAGCGCGAGTGATGATGCTGATGTTGATGATGAGAGAGTGTGAGCGAGTGTGAGTGTGAGTGAGTGGTGATGATGATGATGAGTGAGTGAGTGGGTGTGCGAAGGCAGAAGAGGAGAGGGGGTGGGGTGAGTGTTCCTGCGCGGGGTGTGCAGAGAAAACAAGAACCCCACTGTGGATGTAGGGAAATACCCTCAGGCGGCTCCCCCATTGGAGCTCGGAAACGCGATGCGATCCGTCAGAACCATGATCATCAGATGTTCATGGTTATGTAGATCCGCCACCGTGCCTCTGGGCACGGGGTGGGCGCGCCCTCAGGTCCTTCCATCATCCTCTCAACCTCAGTCTTCATTATTGAGGAGTCGTTCAGAGACCCAGACCCCACATCGCGAAATCTTCTCCTGGGGCTTCTCGCGGTTTCTCGCGCGACTGTTTCGGAACAGCGGGTGCCTACGCCCTACATGGCTTCATGATGGCCCAAAAGGCCTCCAAGCTGCCCCAAGAGGCCTCGAAGATGCCTCCCAAGAGAACCCTGAGAGGCAAAACCCATTGACTTGCCTTCGTTGCTTGAAACATGATGGACCCACGAACCAGGAAAGGGATATAGACATGTGCAGCATGGTCACGTTTTCACGATATCCAACTGGGCGACACCTCACGAAACATCCCACGAGACACCCCGCGAAACATCCCAGGAGACACCTCACGAAACAAACCACGAGACACCTCACGAAACATTCCACGAGACACCCCGTGAAACATTCCACGAGACACCCCACGAACAGGCAACCACTCAACCAGACACCCCACGAAACATTCCACGGGGGAGCGACTGGGTGTGGTCGTGCTGGGGTGTGGTCGTGCTGGAGTATGGTCGTGTTGGGGTGTGGTCGTGCTGGGGTGTGGTCGTGCTGGGGTGTGGTCGTGCTGGGGTGTGGTCGTGCTAGGGGGGTGGTCGTGCTGGGGGGTGGTCGTGCTGGGGCGTGGTCGTGCTGGGGCGTGGTCGTGCTGGGGGGTGGTCGTGCTGGGGGGGTGGTCGTGCTGGGGGGTGGTCGTGCTGGGGCGTGGTCGTGCTGGGGCGTGGTCGTGCTGGCGTGGTCGTGCTGGGGTGTGGTCGTGCTGTGGTGTGGTCGTGCTGGGGTGTGGTCGTGCTGGGGTGTGGTCTTGCTGGGGTAGGGTCGTGCTGGGGGTCGGGTCGTTGATGGGGTGTGGTCCGTGCTGGGTTTATGTCGTGCGGGGTGGGAGTCGTGCTGGGTGGGGGCGTGGCTGGGGTTGGTCGTGCTGGGGTTTGTGGTAGGTGCTGGGGTATGGTGTGCTAGGGTGGGGTTTCGATGCATTTTCGCTCGGAGACTCCTGCCATGAAATTCTGGAAATCGTTGTACAAAAACAAAGGTTTAGTCGAGACATCTCGAAATTCCTTCGCGCGGTGGCGCTTTCCGCGTCGCTGGTTCGCTCTGGCTCACTGTCCGGGCTTCTGGAAATCTCGGCAAACTCTGCGGAGCAAGCGTTTCGTCGAGACATTACCTCATCCACACGAAATGATTGGACGCACGAACCGGAAAGGGATATAGACATGTGGAGCTAATGGGCACGTTTCACGATACCCAACCTGGGCAAACCCTCACGAAACATCCCACGAGACACCTCACGAAACATTCCGCGAGACACCTCACGAAACATTCCAGGAGACACCCCGCGAAACATTCCACGAGACACCCCACGAAACATTCCACGACGACAGGCAACCACTCAACCAAGTCGGTGTGGTCGTGCTGGGGAGTGGTCGTGCTGGGGTGTGGTCGTGCTGGGGGGTGGTCGTGCTGGGGGGTGGTCGTGCTGGGGGGGTGGTCGTGCTGGGGGGTGGTTGTGCTGGGGCGTGGTCGTGCTGGGGCGTGGTCGTGCTGGGGCGTGGTCGTGCTGGGGTGTGGTCGTGCTGTGGAAAGGTCGTGCTGGGGTGCGGTCGTGCTGGGGTGTGGTCTTGCTGGGGTGGGGTCGTGCTGGGGTGTGATCGTGCTGGGGTGGGGTCGTGCTGGGGTGTGGTCGTGCTGGGGGGTGGTCGTGCTGGGGGGTGGTCGTGCTGGGGCGTGGTCGTGCTGGGGCGTGGTCGTGCTGGGGCGTGGTCGGTGGTCGTGCTGGGGCGTGGTCGTGCTGGGGCGTGGTCGTGCTGTGGTGAGGTCGTGCTGGGGTGTGGTCGTGCTGGGGTGTGGTCTTGCTGGGGTAGGGTCGTGCTGGGGTCGGGTCGTGCTGGGGTGTGGTCGTGCTGGGGTATGGTCGTGCTGGGGTGTGGTCGTGCTGTGGTGAGGTCGTGCTGGGGTGTGGTCGTGCTGGGGTGTGGTCTTGCTGGGGTAGGGTCGTGCTGGGGTCGGGTCGTGCTGGGGTGTGGTCGTGCTGGGGTATGGTCGTGCTGGGGTGGGGTCGTGCTGGGGTGGGGTCGTGCTGGGGTCTGGTCGTGCTGGGGTGTGGTCGTGCTGGGGTATGGTCGTGCTAGGGTGGGGTCGTGCATTTCGCTCGAGACATCCTGCCAAAATTCCAGGAAATCGTACAAAAACAAACAAATTAGTCGAAACATCATCGAAATTCATTCGCGCGGGGCGCTTTTCCGCGTCGCGGTCGGCTCTGCAAAACAAGCGTTTCGCTCGAGACATCCTCGGCAAACTCTGCGGAGCAAGCGTTTCGCTCGAGACATCCTCAACACACGAAAAAGTGGCCCGCACCCTGTGATTTATCGATCGGGATTTCAAAAACAAGCGTTTCGCTCGAGACATCCTCAAATTTTAATTCGCCGGCCTCCTTCGACCTCGTTATTTATCAGGGAAAAAATTCGCCGGCCTCCCTCAAGTTGGCACCGGGGGACAGGTTTACCAACTAAAAGAGAACCCTGGGCTCGAGCCCTTTCCGGGAAAAAAGTGCCCCGCACCTCTGTGATTTATCGATCGGGATTTCAAAAACAAGCGTTTCGCTCGAGACATCCTCAAATTTTAATTCGCCGGCCTCCTTCGACCTCGTTATTTATCAGGGAAAAAATTCGCCGGCCTCCTTCAAGTTGGCACCGGGGGACAGGTTTACCTACTAAAAGAGAACCCTGGGCTCATGCCCTTTCCGGGAAAATGTTGGCGTTCTCGCCTGTTTCCTTTCCGACGCTCCCAGACGGCCCGAGGTCCCCAACACCACCCCAGGAGTGCCCAAGAGGCATCCAAGAGGGCCCCAGGAGCCCCAAGAGGCACCCAAGAGGCCTGAAGAGGCTCCAAGAGGCCCCCAAGGGGCCCAACAGCGACCCCAAGAGGCTCCAAAACTGCCCCGAAGAGGCCTCAAAACTGCATCCAAGTGGCCGCAAAACTGACCCCAGGAGGCCTCAAAAAAAGGTCCACCACGAAATCCCAACGAACATCCAATAGGCTTCATACCTACAACCTATGCACAGTGGCGGGAAGGCCATTCGATAGAGAGGAGTCCGAGGTGCAACAGAGAATCATGAGTCCAGAGGGCGAGGCTCAGGCCTGGACGTCTCACCTGAACCCTTCCTGTCGTACTCGGAAAGGCACCCGACAACAAACGAATCAAACATACGTCGCTCAATTGGGGTCGGCGGCAGAGGCGGCAGCCTTTAGATATGAGCTCCCCCCCCCAATGCGAATGGGATCAGCCCCCCCCCTCCTCGCTGGATGGGTACGCCTGTGAACCTCGCGAAGGCCTCGCAAATGGGATCTCCCCTCCCCCTGTGGTCGTGGCCCTTTGGGCCTGGCGCGGTGGAAGGGGGTGCCAATACCCCCGCCCCTCCCCCTGCGGGTTTGGGGTAGGGCTGCGGCGCTGCGGTGCTGCGGTGCCGTCGTCGTCGTCGTCGTCGTCGTCGTCGTCGTCGGTCGTCGTCGTCGTCGTTGTCGTCGGTCGTCGTCGTCGTGGTCGTCGGTCGTCGTCGCCGTCGTCGTCGTCGCCGTCGTCGTCGAATCGTCGTCGTCGTCGGTCGTCGTCGTCGTAGTCGTCGTCGTCATCCCCCAATCCCTGGGACCAATCCCATCTGGGAGAAGGAGGGTGCTGTGAGCCCTCGAACCGAGTCGCCCAAAGATCGCGCCAAGACGCCAAAGATGACCCCGAAGACGGCCCAAGAGACCCCCAAGACGCCGCCCACCGAAAACGGCCCGCCATCTTCATCTAGTTTCTCAATTTCCGCTAGGACCCCTTCAGGGCAAGCGCCGATTGGGGCATATGACTACTTTCCGCCCCTCCCGCCCGCCACCGCGCATGGGTTGTAGGTCAGAGGCTTCTTCGATGCCTCGAGGATTTTTTGTTGAAGAGCTCCTGGAAGTCTCTTGGAAGCAGTTTTGGGATGTCTTGGGGCGTCTCGGGGGCCTGTTGGGCTGCTGGCAGTCTCGGCGGTCACCTTGGACTGGAGGGCTCCAAATGTGAATCCGAATTCCCCTTATTTGGCCCTCTTGGGTCCCCTCTGGGACTGTCTTGGGGGCATTTGGACCGTCTTGGAACCCTCTTGGACTGTCTTGGGGCCTTCTTGGGGGCCTCTTGGGCTGTCTTGGGGCGATCCTGGGGGCCTCTTGGGCCGGGGCCCTTGGGGATGTTCCGGGAGCTCTTTTGGGGCACCTATACACAAACAAACACAAACACAAACCTACACACACAAATCAGGCACCCATGCATGGGACGCGTTGGTGCCCTCTTGGGCCGTCTTGGGGACCTTTTTTGTGGAGTTCTGGCGGCCCGACGCCCGCCTCGGCCTGCGTTCAGAAGACGATGGCTCTACACAGAAGCGGCGCCGGCCGATGCTTCCGCGCCCACGTCGGCGCTCTCAAAAGTCGAACGGACTGTATCGGTGTCAGTCGTGGGCCGGCCACTGGCTCGGGCATACCCACGCGCGGCGCGGGTGGTGCTTGCCCTTTCTCGGGCAAGAGTTCAAAGCATATCGCAACAACTGACCCTCGTTAGCGTCTGCCGGCATTCGCCCAGCAAGCTGGCTCGCAGCCCGTTGCAGGGACTTGAGAGTTGCATTTGCAGGCCAACGCCCAGCAAGCTGGCTCGAACGGATCATGTCCCTGGAAAGCTCCTGCCCGTATTCATACATCGACCGGCCTCCAAGACGGCCCAAGAGGCCTCCAAGAACAGTCCTCAGAAGGGCCGAAGAGCCGAAATTCATCAAATTCCTATGGGAACACGTACATTTCCATCATATACGACTTGTCGGCCTTTACGGCGTTGAAGACGGTCCAAGAGCACCCCAAGACAGCCCCAAGACGGCCCAAGAGGCCCCCAAGAGGCGCCCAAGTCGGCCCAAGAGGGCGCCAACACGGCCCAAGAGGCCCCCAAGACGGCCCAAGAGAGCCCCAAAACGGCCCCAAGAGGGGCCCAAGAGAGGGAGCTTGAACCGACAATCCGAGCCTTCCGCCCAAGACGGCCCAAGAAAGCCCCAAGAGGCCCCAAGAGGCCCCCCCCTCAGAAGCCCCAAAAGGCCCCCAAGAGGGCCCCAAACGGCCCCAAAACGGCCCCCAAGAGGCTTCGAAACTGCCTCCAAGAGTCCCGCGAGAAGCCCCCCAAGAGATCCCCGCGATCACCTCCTCCTCCTCCTCCTCCTCCTCCTCCTCCTCATCCTCCTCCTTCTCCTCTTTCTCCTCTTCCTCCCCCTCACGACCACACGCTGCACGCAACATTGCAGGAGAATGGTGCCGACACTGCATGCGACCCCAGAGAAACCACAACGCTTTTCGAACACAGGGGTCGGCGGATGTGGCGTACGCCTATAGAATCGAGTGCGATGCCTGAGTTTTTTGAATATGTCATCGAGTAGATATTCACTCGGGTATCTGTGGACTTTCTGGGCGACCCCGCAATATGAAAGCCCAAGCTCAGCGCAGAGCAACTTCATAGAAGTCGCATAATTGCCCTGATCAATAATCAAATCGAATGACGAAAAGCGTCGTTTCGCAAACTCTACATCTTCCCATGACAAATGAATTGCGGGTAGCGGCTTATCTATAAGTTTACGCAAACCAACATAGATCTGAACTGCACATCCATGTTGGTACCATTGGCGAATGTATTCCACATACCATCACCAGCAAAAGTTCGCTCAATCGGGTCCCGCAAGAAAACCACGCTGACAAACCCGTCCGAATCGCACGGCATGAAGCTGCTCAAATCTTCTGGCGGTATCTCGCTTTCCTCCTTCCACGCGTTGAACCACCGATGGGTCGAGTTATCTGGGGCCACGAGGAAGGGATCTGCGTCGATTTCGCAGAGGCCATTCAGTTTGAGGATGCTCTTAATGTTGCTTCCAGCATGGTGAATGATATGGAAAAAAACAGCCTGCCGCCGTGCGGGTACGGGACGGTGCCCTTCCCGGCACCGCGCGCAGTGGGGCCCGAGGCGCTCCCAGGTCGTGGCTGCATCACACGTCCGCTGCCCAGCACCCTGCTGGCGCGGAGAAGCCCAAAGAGCACGAAGGGCAGGCCACACAGCATGGCCAGCATTGCAGGCCAGGCGGTCGAGCGGGCCAGCGCCTGCCCCACGCCGCGCATCGGACGGCACGCGCTGCAGCTACAGAGGCTCGGCTGCTGCCGAGGGGGGGGCGCCGGGGCCCCCCAGCGCTTGCACCGAGCCAGAATGGCTTGAGCCAAAATCGCTACGGACGAAGCCATAAACCCTTCGAAATACAACACCGAATTCAACGATATCATCAGAATCTCAATTTGTCTTGCCGATTGCTCATCGTCTTCGCGTGAAGTCCCGACGCTGCTTCACGGCGGCGCCAAGGCGTCATGATTTCGCTCCTGCATTGCCCATTATCCGAGAAAGGGGGCCTGCGGCAGGGGGCGAAGCCCTTACGTACGGATATACACACTCACGCAGCCCGAACAGTATTTGCACCTACTGGGCCCTAAAGAGCTAGGCCTGTCCGTCGGTCTGGCGACTATGTGGTCGCCGTCGCCGCCCAGGCGCCGCTTCGTCGCCGCCCGTTGTATGGGCCTGCCCGTCGGTCTGGCAGCTGTGGTCGCCGTCGCCGCCCCGTCGCCGCCCATCTTCTGGGCCTGCCCGCGGCGATGTGATCGCCGTCGCCGCCCCGTTGGCATTGTTTCGCACTGGTTTGAATTGTTGTGTGTTGTTCCGTATTGCGTCGCATTGTTTGGTATCGTTTAAATTGTCTCGCACTTCTGCATTGTGTCGCATTGTTCTGGATTGCTACGCCATGTTACATGCACGATATAGATTCTCCATTCTAAAAACAGAATAGATTCCTCCCTCGTCGTTGTCGTCGACGCCGCCGTCCTTCCTCCTTCTTCGTCGTTCGCGTCGTCGCCGTCCTCCCTCCTCCCTCGTCATCATCGTTGTCGTCGTTGTCGCCGTCGTCGTCCTCCCTCCTCCCTTGTCGTCGTCTTCGTTGGCGACGTCATTGTCGTCGTCGTCGTCGTTGTCTTCGTCGTCGCCGTCGTCGGCGTCGTCGTCGTCGGCGTCGTCGTCGTCGTTGTCATCGTCGTCGTCGTCGGCGTCGTTGTCGTCGTCGTCGTCGGGGTCGTCGTCGTCGTGGTCGCTGTCGTCGTCGAAGTCGTTGGAAACGTCGTCGGTGTCGTCGTCGTCGTTGTCGGCGGCGCCGTCGTCGTCGTTATCGCTGTCGTCGTCGGCGTCGGTGTCGCGGCCAAGTGCCATCTGGTACCTACCGTCACGGTCTTGTCTTAAGAGGTCTTGCGACCAAGTTGCGGGTGGGAAGTGGGATGTTTGCACGAGCAGCGGAGAGGACAGCTTCAAGTTGAGCAAGTGATTCTTATGTTACATGTGTGAGTATCTTCTTCGACGGCGCTCCCTATGGGGCCACGAAACGTGTGAGGGGTGTGCCGAAATCTGCGCGGTGGGCGCATGGGAACGCAGCTACTGGGGCCTTCGCTGGAGCTCCCTATGGGGCCACGAAACGTGTGAGGGGTGTGCCGAAATGGGTGCGGCGGGCGCATGGGAGCGCAGCCACTGGGGCCTTCGCTGGAGCTCCCCATGGGACCACGAAACGTGTGTGGGTGTGCCGAAATGGGTGCGGGGGGCGCATGGGAGCGACTGGGGCCTTCGCTGGAGCTCCCTATGGGGCCACGAACGTGTGAGGGGTGTGCAGAAACGTGGGTGCGGTGGGCGCATGGGCCGCAGCCACTGGGGCCTTCGCTTCGTGGAGCTTCCCTATGGGGCCACGAAACGTGTGAGGGGTGTGCCGAAATGGGTGCGGTGGGCGCATGGGAGCGCAGCACTGGGGCCTTCGCTGGAGCTCCCTATGGGGCCACGAAACGTGTGAGGGGTGTGCCGAAATGGGTGCGGTGCCATGGGAAATGGGGCCTTCGCTGGAGCTCCTTATGGGCCACGAAACGTATGATGGGTGTGCCGAAAGGGTGCGGTGGGCGCATGGGGGCGCAGCCACTGGGGCCTTCGCTGGAGCTCCCCATGGGACCACGAAACGTATGATGTGCCGAAACGGTGGGCGCATGGGGGCGCAAATTCACGAAACGAAATGAGGGGTGTGCCGAAATGGGCGCGTGGGCGCATGGGAGCGCAGCCACTGGGGCCTTCGCTGGAGCTCCCTATGGGGCCACGAAACGTGTGAGGGGTGTGCAAGAATGGGTGCGGTGGGCGCATGGGAGCGCAGCCACTGGGGCCTTCGACGGCGCTCCTTATGGGGCCACGAAACGTGTGAGGGGTGTGCCGAAATCTGCGCGGTGGGCGCATGGGAGCGCAGCCACTGGGGCCTTCGCTGGAGTTCCCTATGGGGCCACGAAACGTATGAGGGGTGTGCCGAAATGGGTGCGGTGGGCGCATGGGGGCGCAGCCACTGGGGCCTTCGCTGGAGCTCCCTATGGGGCCACGAAACGTGTGAGGGGTGTGCCCAAATGGGTGCGGTGGGCGCATGGGAGCGCAGCCACTGGGGCCTTCGCTGGAGCTCCCTATGGGGCCACGAAACGTGTGAGGGGTGTGCAGAAATGGGTGCGGTGGGCGCATGGGAGCGCAGCCACTGGGGCCTTCGCTGGAGCTCCCTATGGGGCCACGAAACGTGTGAGGGGGTGATGATGATGATGATGATGATGATGATGATGATGATGATGATGATTGTGATGATGATGGTGATGATGATGATGGCAGGAGGGAGGGGGCAGCGGGAGGAGGAGTGAACGCGGGGCGCTGTCTCTTCAAAACGAGGACCCAACACCACAGGATGGTTGGGAAAAAATGCGTTATCAATCCCCTTTTGGGTATGTAAATCATGTATGATTCTGACCACATGTCCATCCTAAATATGCATTTACACTATCCCAGGCCAGCCGGTATCCCCCCCCCGAGGTTCCCTTGTAAAAAAACACCATGCGGTGACATGATTTGCTCTAACATAACACTTGTTCGCGAATCCCTCGTAAAAAAACGGGACGAAGTGCACACGCGCGCGTCGTCGCGGGCGCATGCCGAAATCCTTCAAAAACCTTCGGTGCCGGAAAGACTTCGCAATCGAGTTCCCAGCAACAACAAAAAAACACAGGGTTTCGCAACACTGATTTGCTAAACAAGTTTCCGCGCGAGCTCTTGCGAAACCTTAAGAAAACCATTGTTTTTTCAAGATTTTCACAACATGCTACCAAACGGGCTTCGCGCGCGCGCGCATGTCGAAATCTGTCGAACGCCCTTGCGCGTGTGCCGTCGCGAGAATCCTCTGCAAAAAATGGGACGAAGCGCAGACGCGCGCGTCGTCGCGCGCGTATGCCGAAATCCTTCAAAAACCCTCGATTTCGGGAGGATTTCAAAATCGTGTCCAAAATAACGTACAAAAACAAAAGGTTCCGCAATACGGATGTTCAGCAAATGCGTGCGCGTGCGCTTCTGCGTCGTCGTCGTCGTCGCCGTCCTCCCTCCTCCGTCGTCGTCGTCGGCGTCGTCGTTCTCTGTCTTTCCTCGTCGTCGTCGTCTTGGCGTCGTCGTCGTTTCCGTCGTCGTTGTCGCCGTGGTCGTCGTTTCCTCTTCCCTCGACGTCGTCGTCCGTCGTCGGCGTCTCGTCGTCGACCCTCCTCTTTCGTCGCCGTCGTCGTCGTCGTCGTCGTCGTCGTCGTCGTCGTCGTCGTCGTCTTCCCTCCTCCCTCGTCGTTGTCGTCGTCGGCGTCGTCCTCCCTCCTTCTTCGTCGTTCGCGTCGTCGCCGTCCTCCCTCCTCCCTCGTCGTTGTCGTCGTTGTCGTCGTCGTCCTCCCTCCTCCCTCGTCGTCGTCGTCGCCTTCGTTGGCGGCGTCGTTGTCGTCGTCGTCGTCGTTGTCTTCGTCGTCGTCGTCGTTGTCTTCGTCGTCGGCGTCGGCGTCGTCGTCAGCGTTGTCATCGTCGTCGTCGTCGGCGTCGTTGTCGTCGTCGTCGTCGGTGTCGTCGTCGTCGTCGTCGATGTCGAAGTCATTGGAGACGTCGTCCGCCGACCCCTTGGGGATCATCGGCGTGTGAGATGCTCCCCCCTCCCCAAACCCCTCCCCCGGGAGCCGGGTCCGGTCGATTTGGAGGGGGGGGGGCCCGACGAGCGACTCACGAGCTCTTCTGGGCCCAAGAAGGCCTAAAGATGGGCCAAGAAGGCCCCAAGAGGCCTCCAAGACGGCCCACGAGGGCCCCGAGACGCCAAACCAGCGCTCCAATACGCCCAAGATGACCCCAAGACGGGCCAAGAGGCCTCGAAGACGGCCCAAGAGGTCCCAAACAAGCCTCCCAAGAGGGCCCCGAGAGGCTAATTTTCCATTGTGTTTTTCTATGTTTTTTTGTCTTTTCGCCTTTTCGGCTTCCCGACGCTCCAAGACGGCCCAAGAGGCCCCGAAGACAGCCCTAAGACGGCCCAAGAGGCCTACAAGACGGCCCCAAAACGGCCCAAGATGGCCCCAAGACGGCCCAAGAGGTCCCCAAGACGGCCCAAGACGGCACCAAGAGAGGGGCCAAGAGTGCCCCAAGAGGCCGCCAGAGGCTTCCAAGAGGCCCCCAAGGCGCCCCAAGGAACCCCCAAGAAGCCCCCCAGAGGCTCCGAAACGGCCCCAAGACGGCCCAAGAGGTCCCCAAGACGGCCCAAGAGGGCTCCAAGACGGCACCAAGAAGGGCCCAAGAGGGCCACCAAAAATTCAAAACATCTAGCTTTCCGCCCCCAGGACCACCAGGGGGCCCCATGAGTGCCCCAAGAGGCCGCCAGAGGCCCCCAAGAGGCCCCCAAGACGCCCCAAGGAACCCCCAAGAAGCCCCTCAGAGGCTCCGAAACGGCCCCCAAGTGGTTTCAAAACCGTATTCGACAGGCCTCCGAGAGGCGTGCCGCGAGATCCCAATACACATCCAAGAAGCCTCTAACCCATAACCCATGACCAAGGGCATTCCTTCCGTGTCCCTCTCCTTCTCCTCACCCTTCTTTTCCATCCGGGTGCATAAGTGGCTTCAAAACAGCCTTCCAGAGGCCCTGGAGAGGCGTGCCGCGAGACCCCCATACACATACAACAAGCCTCTACTCAGGGTCTCCCTTGTCCTCCTCCTCCTCCTTCTCTTGCTCCACTTCCTCCTCGTTCCTCTCCTCTTCTTCCTGCCCCGCTTCACCTTATCCTCTTCGATGCGTCTTCTCCCCATTTCCCGCCTCACCACCCTACCCGCCGACCAGAGCCAGATCCCCGCTAGCAACACATACTGCGCCACTCAATGGAACAACGCGCACGGAACACTAACACATGACACTTTGAGACCC